GACTTGTATGCTCCGCCCTGAGGGCGTTGTAGGCGAGTAGGCGAGTAGGCGAGTAGGCGAGTAGGCGAGTAGGCGAGTAGGCGAGTAGGCGATTAGGCGATTAGGCGATTTGCACACGGCGCACTCCTTAGTCGTCAAAATTGAGGCGCACATGCATATTAGCTTCTCACCCATACACTAGACTACTACACTGCGTCCCATAATTATAACTCCACCCAAGAATTTCCCAAAATCTCACAAATTTAGATGTTTTAGAAAAAGTCTCCAATGTGGCAGTGTGGTAAATACAAATACGAAATCGCCTATAAACATCAACTTCCAACTTGAGATCCCAGGAATTTTTTCTAATAATTTTTGTTCAAAAGGCCACTTAGCCGACGTCCCAAAATTATAACTCCACCTTATGTTTTTCTATTATTTTTCACTTCCGTTTCGCCAAACTTTTTTATTATTGTGCTAACATCCTACTTCTCAAAGGGACAGTATGATAGAAAATGCTGTCTGACTTTTTAAAAGGTCAGGTCGTCGCAAAAACTACTAATTAGGCAATCGCACAAGATTTTGACCAAATTCACGAGGAGCTCGAGAATTTTTTCAGGGATTTTACATGATATGGAGTTGAGAAGAGCTCCAAAGGATCTCCCCTTGCTTTTCGGTAGAAACAAAGGCCGTGTCACAGAAGAAACATCCTTTTTTATGAAGCCGTGCTCTGCCATCAAATCTTCTTCGGAACTTAATGGCTCAACGGAACAATGTTTTTTGCTTGCGAATAAGTCCCAAGTTGATTCTCGAGTGGAAAACGTGGAAGGCATCATCTGTGGTAAGAAACCATGGCGGAATTCTTGCTGAGTTTTCCGGAAAGGTGCATCCGAGCCGACTGTAGTAAGGTTCGCTCTTACTTGCGAATCAATACTGATTTTTATTTTTTCTATTCGGAATTTTCTTTCTCCTGGTAGTGCTTCGCGAAGAGAAAAGCTACTAAGGATGAGAAAAGCACGAAAAGAAAAACAAACAAATGCTAAAACATATCGAGCAAAAGCGAACCTTACTCCAGTCGGCTCCGTTGCAATTTTTCTGTGGAAAATGGGCTCAATTTTCGCCATGGTTTCCTGCCACAGATGATGCCTTCCACGTTTTCCACTCGAGAATCAACTTGGGACTTATTCGCAAGCAAAAAACATTGTTCCGTTGAGCCATTAAGTTCCGAAGAAGATTTGATGGCAGAGCACGGCTTCATAAAAAAGGATGTTTCTTCTGTGACACGGCCTTTGTTTCTACCGAAAAGCAAGGGAGATCCTTTGGAGCTCTTCTCAACTCCATATCATGTAAAATCCCTGAAAAAATTCTCGAGCTCGTGAATTTGGTCAAAATCTTGTGCGATTGCCTAATTAGTAGTTTTTGCGACGACCTGACCTTTTTAAAAAGTCAGACAGCATTTTCTATCATACTGTCCCCTTGAGAAGTAGGATGTCAGCACATTAAAAAAGTTTGGCGAAACGGAAATTTTGGGAAGTTGGCCAAGTGGCCTTTTGAACAAAAATTATTAGAAAAAAATTCCTGGGATCTCAAGTTGGAAGATGATGCTTATAAGGAATTTCGTATTTGTATTTGACACACTGCCACATTAGAGACTTTTTCTAAAACATCTAAATTTGTGAGATTTTGGGAAATTCTTGGGTGGAGTTATAATTATGGGACGCAGTGTAGTTGGTAAAAGCAGATCTTGTCAGTGATCTGCTTTTTAATCTGTCAGTAAAGTGTTGCATACAATCCAGATATCACCTAATCGCCTTACTCGCCTAATCGCCTACTCGCCTGATCGCCTACTCGCGTACTCGCCTAATCGATACGTATCCTTTACTCATCGCCTGATCGCCTACTCGCCTAATCGCCTACTCGCCTACTCGCCTATCGCCTAATCGCCTAATCGCCTAATCGCCTAATCGATCCGCATACTTTTCATTTTGAATCATCGCCTACTCGCCTAATCGCCTAATCGCACGTACGATCGCCAACTATGAACGCTCCATTACAACATCACTTTAGCTCCACACTCTTCCACACGTATCAAACGGTGAGCTTCTGCAGAGAGGAGCAGCTTATGGAGCGTTCATAGGTGGCGATCGTGCACCCGTTTCGCCCCCCCCGCCACCTCTCGGCGATTGTGTGTTTAGGCGATTAGGCGATTAGGCGATGATTCAAAGTGAAAAGTATACAGATCGATCAGGCGATTAGGCGATTAGGCGAGTAGGCGATTAGGCGAGTAGGCGAGGAGGCGGTCAGACGGTGAGCAAAGGATACGTATCGATTCAGGTCGCAGTATAGAGCGATTAGTGCGAGTAGGCGAATTAACGGCAGATCTAGGCGATGGACCGATTAGAGCGAGCTAGGCCAGAATTAGCAGCGAGTAGGCGATCAGGTGATATCTGGATTGTATGCAACACTTTGACAAGATCTGCTCTTAACAACTAGTAGTCTAGTGTAGGGGTGAGAAGCTAATATGCCTATGCACCTCAGTTTTGACGACTAAAGAGTGCGCCGTGTGCAAATCAGGAAATGCTTTTAGTTTTCTACCCGTTCTTTGTACAGTTATGTAATGTAAGTAATCCTTTCTTGCTGAATTCAGTGAATGTGTGCTCTTCTGCAGCACGGTTTGCTACGTGGCAGACGTGGCTGTGGTCCTGATAAAAGATTTTATATCAGTGTGGTATCGTCTCTTATCTGAGTGACACGCTTATGCCACGTCAAGTAAGACTCGTCTAAGAATAAGTGCGAGGGACGAGGTTAATGTTAATTCATCATTAGCGCAGCTCAGGTGAGTTCAATCCATTTGTGTGGATGTTCATGGTCGATTTAGATTCTCATTGGTGTTGGGTCGTTTTCACGTGTGCCTTGTGCAGACATAATGAATTTTAACTAAAATTTGATACGGTCTTTTTACAACAGCATCCATATTTATTACAAAGTAGGAATTGTTCATATTCTCTTTCAAAAAGATAAATCTCCTGGGGAAGTTTCGCTGGGAATATCTGGGGAACATCTCATCCTGACGATAATCTCATGGCATACTTAAAAAAACTCGATTAAGTGATATAAACCCTATAGCATATTGAGCTGCTGAAAAGCTTGTGGTCTCAGACTACAACTTGTCGAAGGAATATTATCGCTCACCATTTCCGATTCATTTAGTAGAACTAGAGCACAGTCATTTGATCGATCGTAGATGCCATCGCCTACTCGCCTAATCGCCTACTCGCCTAATCGCCTACTCCCGCCCCTACATCGCCTACTCGCCTAATCGCCTACTCGCCTACTCGCCTACTCGCCTAATCGCCTACTCGCCTACTCGCCTACTCGCCGAATCTATACGTATATATTTCATGTAGACTGATCGCCTAATCGCCTAATCGCCTCCAACTAATGACACTCACTTTTAGAAGGAGCGGTCAGCTGAATTCATTTTAAGACGCAAACTTAGATTTAGCGGTGAATCTAACGCTTTATCGGCTGCCCTGTCTCATCCGGACTTTCCGTTTAATGCGCGCGGTAGCATGCGGCGCTGAACTAATAAATGTGTGGGTATGATAACGAATACGAGGTTCCCTGTGGTCAGAGAGCCGTCTGGCGCCACAACCTGCCTTTTGCTGTATTACTTGCCAAATTTGACCCCTTGAAACTGGTTTTGGTACTTGGCGTAGCAACTTTCTTCTTCATTCTTGAGAGTAGTCTTCTAAAACCTATCGATTTGCCTACGTCTCCATAAAGTCAGATGCCTCTTATCGTTCATCACGACCCTCAAGAAAATCTTGAAGGCAGCGATTACAGTAATTTCTAGAGGGGCTTTACAGTGGTGACGTGTGGGTACGTCACAGTAGCGGAAAAGCAGGGAAACTCCATCAAGGAAACGTGAAAAAATCCCCATCCAACTGTCGATCTTCGCTCAACGATGGACAGCAGCGAAAACGGCGGACGAGTGGACGGGTTTACCGCAACGCCTGCTAGTGGACTACGATGCCGAAGGGCAGTGTGCCCAGTGGGTACCCCCCAGGAGGCCCGTCGCGCGACAAGAAGGCGAGTCAGCGGACGAGTTCCGCGCGTACTGTAGGGATTTCGCGTCAAGTTAAATAGAATGTTCCATTGTACGTCCTACATCGCTCACGCGCTGCGACTCGTCCGCGACTCTGCCTTCTTGCCGCGCGACGGGCCTCCTGGGGGGGGGGGGGGGGTAGCCGTGCTCCAGTCGAGTTGTTCCACTTGGACACTCCACTGCTGGCAAGCACAGCTCGTCCAAATCACCAAAACTAGTGGGCGGATCGCTTTTGGGGGCGAGTGCTTTCGAAGTCCTGCTCAGCAACCAGCGCACCTTTCGTCGTGAAAGCGCCACACCTCGCTTCCTTGGCAGCCAAGTAACTGCTTCAGTGACGCATATGCTTCCCTGATGTGCTCCCTCTTTATCGCAATCGTTTCCTTGAAGGAATCAAAAACAATCAACGTTTTCGTGCACGGAAACCAACCGACAAGAGCGCTTGGGCCTTGCAAAGTAAGCTGCCCAAGCTGCAGACTTTTTTCTCTTATCAGGCTGTTGTCTGGCGCTCTCTCATCTGTAGCGCTCTCTCGCCCATACTCTCCTCTCCGCGCTTAGTCTCTCATTCCCTTAGCACAGCCGATTAGGAAGGTGAGTGAGCCCTTAACCTAAGCGTTTTCGACGGATTCTTTTCCTTTTTTCTTTACTGCCGGCCCATTTCGCACCAATACATTCGCATTCGTGTGCAAGAGCCACACCAATGTGATCCTGGGGCATGCCTTTAATGTTTCTTTCTTGAAACATCCATCTATTTTTCATGGGAAGATTCCACATTTTCGCACAAGAAGAGGGTTTATTTCATGCGCCAAACTGACAGAAGTGAACAGTTTCTTTTCCCAAGTTTCTTAGAATTCCGTCAAAGAAAAATATTTCGAGAAATTCCTTTTCTATCATACCAAAGTTTTCAATTTTGCAGAATGCAGAGTACAATGCCCGCTTCAGAAAATTTCCCAATATCACGAGAGATGAGGTTGGAGCACATCCGGGGATCTACATAGACGAAGCTCCATGCACAGAGGAAAAGTACGACTGCGCTAAACTTGCACAATGTCGTGGAATAAAGATTAAGGTTATTCAGGGGGTTTGTAGCAATTGCCCCAACTTATCCATTGCACTAACAAGAAACCTTGCAGTCGAAAATTGATGAAGAGTTAGAAGGAGAGATCGATTTATGTGCCGAGTATGAGAGTGAAATCGAAATCATATTCATCGAACAGGAACACACCGAAGTCCCGTTAGTCCTTTTACCATTCTTTGCGCTCAGTTTATTAGCATCGTCTTTTTAGGCTGCATACTGGGAAAAATTACCTCCTTCGACTGAGAGAAGAAGTCTTTTCAACGGATGCCACACGAGTGAGTGATAAAAGGCACGAGCAAAGTAAACTGGCGTGCTATTTTGCTCGAAAACTGGACGAGAAGTGGGATGAGGACCACGAGCGGGTAGAACAAGCAAAAAGTACTGCAGAAAACACTGAAATGTCCTTGCGAGGTCGGCCCTGCTATGAAAAATAGGAGCAGCGCTGCGAGGAGAGGGAAAGCTCGAGGTAGGCGCGAACGCCATGCATGCTGCGATTGATAGAGCGGCAGTGCCAGCAGCGTACAAGGTAGGCCTTATTAGCGCTCTTGCTGCGTACATTAGAGCGCGGCACTGTTGCGTCTCCTGTGCTTAGGAACCCTTCTTTACTCACTCGGGAACTGGCTCTCGGCACCTAATTCCGACCTGTACATAGCTTCAATCAGCTGATCTTCTAAAGGGGTAGGCGTAGCCCAGGGATTGGGAGCGGTTTGTTCTTGCAAATAAGATCAACCCATCCTTTGCGCCTTGGTAAGCCGCCGAGAGTGCACAACAAAGGATATTTCTTGTATGTATAACCGGGGAAGAGGAGAAAAAAGGAAGGCTGTGTTAACGGCCGCACACTAGTAATTTTCATAACATAGGGTACCACCATTGATAAGCGTCTTACGAGTAAATGTTTCTCAAATATTCCTCCATAAGAAAGAGCAAATACTTGTTCACCGCCGTCTCCCTCTCTAAAGTACGAAGCAGGGTCAACCGTCACGTTGGACCGATTTCGAAAATTTTACGACCCCCTCCCCCTTCTAGAGGGCCTCGATACGACCCCCCCCCTCAGGGTCAACCCTTCACCACCCTCGCCTGCCATCGCCATCATGGGGCTCATTCTATAGTATTCGATTCTGAGACCAGTCGACACAGCCCAAACTCCGCCCACTTTTTTCCTCACTTCCGTTACTGAAACATTAACGCTACCCCGCGAAATACGACCCCCTTTTTTCCACCCCTCGTTCGACTTTGTTCGACGGACGGTTGATCCTGCTACGAAGTCTTCCGGAGAGGCTTTGAGGTAGGACCTTGCACCGCGTTATTGTTGCGTTTCCCTCTGATGTCGCGGAACGAAAGGCTATTATGAAGTTGTTTGAAATTCGAAGGTACTCTTCAAGATTCAGTTGAAAGCATCACTTCTAGTTGAGCAAAGCGTGATTAATTCAATTCTAAGTTCATTTAGAATCTTAATCTTATGATCTCATAATCAATTCTAAGTGTAGATGTTTACCAAGAAGAGCTTTTCCTTTTCCTCGCAGAACTTCGAATGAAGGCCTACAGACGTTAATTGATGTGGTCTAGAATGCTGATCACCTGTGGAAAACAAAGTTGTTGCTTGAATTTCCCAAGCAAGTAGTGTGTGGCCAAAATTGGCAGATTTGCAGCGCAGCAAAAAAGTATGCTGTCGTGTCAAACTCAATCTATACAGGTGGAATTCAAAAAAGAGTCACTTTCCTATATAATTACGTGTTAAGAAACCAAACCAAATGAGCCCAACTGAATATTAAAGAGCACATTCTATCTATCAAAAGTTACATGACAGCCTTCTACACCGACGACATCAGAAGATTTTCCCACGGAAACATGGTTCACGGTACGAGCTCAACGAGGTCGTCGAGGTACCATAGACCATTACGACGTCCCTGAAACGCTGGTCAAAAGCGGTCTTGCACAGTCACAGCTAAATGTTACTGAATGATGACTTCTTACCTTCTACTCGGCGCAAAATTCTAGGTTTTGCCAGAAATGTCCTTTGATAGCGACGTCAACGAGTGCGCGATGCTCGTACTTCCAACGATAATTTCAAATAAAAGCAAATGAGCAGTTCAGCAAAGAATTGATCTCAGGATCTGAATGTATGAGCGCTCGGGCTCCTATCGCCACACTCTCTTGTCGTCAGTAACTTCTGCTTTGGCGCGCTTATGAGGGCGTTGATATGCGGTGTCTTTCAGCACAGGGTAGAAAATCCTTCACAACCCTGTAAGGAAGAGCGCTCACTGGATTCTCAAATGAGTTCAACGTTGCGGTTTTGAAGTACTACAGTGATATGAGATCTTTTTCTTATAGAAAAAATGACTAGCCCCATAATATATTTGGGGTGCTCCACACATAAATCTAATGACCTTACCGTGGCCTGACTCTCAAGTTCATTTATGGCGCAGGCAAAAGTATTCTCAGTGAACACGGGAATCGTTGCTATGATCCTGTTCTTGGAAACAACAAATACACGTTGCATGCACTAAAAGTCGAGGTTGAAGTTTAAAAAATGAGACTTCATTTGAATAAAGGGCGTTCTTCACGGGTTCGGCTCAGTGTACACTGTGTAGTGTATTCGACGATAAGGAAAGGATAAAGCATTTGCCGTTGATCAATCCCCTTTTGGGCACGCATTCTACTTCCATTTGTACATTCGTAGTGGCGTTTGAATGCGATGTGGCCTATACAATGACTTGCGGGGGCCAGCCGATGTACAAGTCAGTGTTTTTATCCTCCCAGACAAGTCGACCCCGGAGGGATGGAAGGCTTGGTTGGCCCGGGCGACTCACGACCCAGGATTTGATCCCCGGACCGCTCGCGTGGTAAGCGTGCCACTTGCCACTACACCACTTCCGCCCCTTTGAGTTTTTGAGTCGTACCATCCTTTGAGTTTTCATCTCATAAAAATGATTGGCGCATAGTTGAAAGAATCAAAGTGAGTTTTTCAGGCGAGCTGGAGGGTTTCTTCACGACCTCCCGCACATTACGACAATTCAAAAGCATGCTTAGAGCAGGGGATTGTACTGCAGAAGAATGGAGACCTACTGTTGACTAGGCTCACCTCCAGAGATGTGAGACGGCATGTAGAAGTAACACTTTCGGATGGCAGAAAGATCAGTATACAATTCAGTAATGCAGGGTTAGTTTTTAGAATATTCGCCTTTCAGGTGTTGTGGTGTTCTGCTACAGATCCCTTATTCTTCCTATTTTTTTTCCTATTTCCTCGAAGAAGTTGCTGATGCTTCGTTGAGACAAAATTCAAATCAATCTGCTAAATAACGGTGTCTTCTGCACTGAAAACCTCTGGCCTTGAAAGTGCGCGATTTCTCCCGTGTTTGGAGGGTTGGAGCCTGTCACCTTGCACTCGTGATTTGTGGAAGTCGTAAGGGAGCACTGAACATTTCTCCAATAGCCATCAAACACCACCCTTGACACTGAACGACCCGCTGCTCTGAACGGTTGGGGCAACACTGCAAAATCAACTGCAGAATTGTTAGCGGCCATGCGACTATTACCGAACTCCCCTGCGAACGAACTCTCTACCTATCCTTCTATTTTATAAAGCGCTAACTTTGTGTGTCGGTTTGTGTATCTGTATGTGTGTGTGTATGTATGTATGTGTGTCCGTCCGCAAAATGAAGTGAGTGAGAAGGAAGCTCATGGGATAAACAAACCGCTAACAAATCGGGTAGCTTACAGGATTTGAGATATCAATGTTTTGTAGCAGGATAGTTGTGATAACACTCTCAGGGCTATATAAACACCTGCTTAGCACACTTCCGTTCATTCCACATGGTGCTGCAGTGGCAGCTGGAGGGCAGTGGAGAGAGGAAGGGAGGATGAGGAAGCGAAAAATCTACCGTCATATCATGATTGTGTCCCTTCTACTGTATGAAACACCATTGTGTTGCATACGCGTCACTTCCAGGTGTTGGTGTCACAGGAGGAAGGGACCATAGCGGAGGATAGAAAGCTTGCGCAGGAAAGGAAGGTCCCGGCGGTTGACGGGGGACTAATCTGGTAATAAATATGTAAGATTGGCAGCAACCACCGTCAACAATTTTGTACTACTGCAGAATAAAAAATAAATCATGCTAGCCTAATATACACTTCTCAGTATGATCGAGTTCAGTCACTTAAAGACCCTCCCACGTCCTTAAAGAATCTTCCACGGAAAGAGTGATCATTTTGTCTTGTGTGTAGGATTAGTATTATCGAAACTAACGCTTATGTTCCGTTCTTTTTGCTATGCTCATGAGGCTAGGGGCCTAAGGTATCGTTTTTCTGTGGTAATGGAGGCGGAGCTTTTTCCGCGGAAGATTTCCTTTAATCTGAGTGAAGCCACGAGATCAGATCAAAGGTCGGGGAAGGGTAGGGATGGGGAAAATTGCTCTATCGTCTTGTTATATTGATGGCTTTTTTGCTGCTTTTCTTCAATCAGCAAATACGTACTCCCAGAAATGAATCCTTAGGTAAAGTTCTTGAAATAGATTTTTCAGTAAGCAGCCTTTTTTCCAGCCTAAAGCTCGGTCTTGGAGAAGACAGCGACGTTTTGATTATGTGGGCGGTAATTCTATCAGGCACGTTAGCACTGCTATCGAGATTTTCTCAATTTGGCGAATTTCCTACCGAATACCACAAGTTCGATGTTTTATTGAGTTTTCGTGACGTTAATGACCTTCAAATGATCTAGTGCGCGTAAGAAGCTATA